ATGGAAATTATGAAAAACATATATTTAATCTAATATTTGAATAGAGAAGAAAATAAGAATATCATGAAATGAAATTATGTAAATAAGTACCTCTTTAGAAGGGATTGTAATTTAATGCTGATGAATGTTATGATAGAAATGGCTTAAAAATTAGGTTTGGGTTGATTTAATTGAAAATTAATGGTATTAATAATATGCTTTATTTTATTAAGCAAAAATTAATGTATACATGCAGGTGAATATATGAAAAAAGGATAACGGATAGATTGACATTTTTAAATTATTGGAAGATAAAAGTTTAATTGATTAAATAATTTATGTCAAATTTTTATAAAAACTGTAATAGTTTACAGAACTAATAATAAATATTGAATGCAATTTTGTTAATGAAAATAGAGTTAAAGTTGAAAAATTGTGTAATTTATAATGATAACTCCTATCTTAAACTACACCACTAAAATAAGTATGAAATAAGGAAATATCTTTAGAAAAAAAATACCATATTTCATTAAGTTTAATGTAAATAAATTTCATTTTCATTTCTTAATTATTTACAATCAATTAATCTAACTTTGTAAAAGTTTCAAAAAATTTTGCAAAATTTTAATTACTAGTTCAAATAATCAGCAATAAACCATATAAATTATGTTATTGAGTACTCATTAAAAATAAAATTAACTCATATCAAATAGTAACTATTTATGGTTTAATTGTTTTCGGGTGTATATAACTTGAAATTTTAAAACAATATAATTTGGTGAGAATGATAGAAATATTCCAAAAATAAAGAGTGAATGTCAATCATAGGATACCTTTATACCTATTATATAAATTGAAATTCTAATTAAGTTTATATATTAGTCAAAGATATACTATTATTATTTTAAAACCGTAATATTTAAGAGTACTCTGTCATTAATTATGCATCAAAATCCCAAGATAAATAGATTTAATAATTTAAAGGTTAATTTTCTTTATAAAAAAATGTATAATTTATAAGATTAAGAATTTGACATAATGTGTTATTGCTGAAAAATTATAATTACATTTGAGAAAAGAAAAGTCTAGTAAAAATGTATTCCTTTAAATTTTCAACGAAAATTTCATTTTTTCTTTCAACTACTAAGCTTAAATATTATGAGCCTGAATATGCATTCATACTTTTCTCTTTTTCAATAACAAAATATGGTTTAATCATTGAAGAAATTATCTCTATCATCTTTATTAATAACTTTGAATTTAATAAATTTATAATCTTCAATATAAATTATAAAGTTTAAAATATTTGTTCTGATAAGTCTGTAAATGTAAATTAACAAAAAATTACAAGTCAAAAAGTATTTGGAATTTAATATAATATTTTGATGATGTTTCATTGTGTTTTAACTGTTTTTACTTTAATTTATATCTCGTTTAATACATAGCCAGAAACTGATTTTGATATATTTTATTCCACTATTTTTAAGCAAATACATCACTAAAACTAAATTATCTTAGATGAACTTTCATAAGAATTTTGAGATCATTTAAACCATAAATTGAAAAGAATGTTATTGAATTTAGATTGAAGCATATTTAATAAGATTTTTTCATGAATTAAAATTATTTTGGTATAATTATATACCCAAAGCTCAGTTTTCTTTCCTCATTTATTATAAATTTAATATTTATATCTTTTTATTAATATATTCTAATTTAACAGAATATTAAATATTCATGATGGTAGAATCTTTATTTAGATAAATTATTTAAATATATTTTCCTTCTATTTGAATTTCAAGTATCCAATTAGAAAAAAACTATTTGGATTAAATTTCATTCTATATTGAGATTTATCCTAGAAATTATTTGAAAAGAATAATATAAATCTGTTCATTGGTTAAAAATTTATTTATTTTATTAAAAATAACTTGTAAGATTAAAATAGAAATGATGATTTTCAATATTCGTATAAGATAATAGAAAAATGTTACATTTATAATCTTCTTTATCATTTACTCATGACTCAATTAAATGAAATTTTTTATTTATAATAATAATTGAAAATATATATTATATGCAAATGGAATATCTAGTATTTTTAATTAATAATTGGGGAGTTATACAATAACCAAACTTTTTGAAGTTAAGAAGTAAATATGAGATTTATAATATAGTTTTATTACAAAATAGTTTTAATTCATGAAGTGGGTACTTTTTCTCTATCTTATGGCTCTTCACTTTTTTTGAATATTAAATATAAGAAATAACAAAGTGCTGCTACTCCTGTTAAAAATCCATAAAATATACTGAAACATCCAACATTGAGGCCATAAAGAATTGCCAAAATTCTTTTAGTCCAATCTGATGCCCAACATAGATCTTATTCATATCTACAAAAGTAGAATAATGAGAATATCACTACTAAAATTTCTCCAATTATTGTTAAATATACTGCAGCACCCAAACTTCCTGAATTACTAATTTCTTTAGAATATTTAAAAGTTGAATTTATCAAAAATATAATAACACCAACAGATCCCAGTAAGAAACCAAAATACATTTCTTTATATCCTCCCTATTTATTATAATCATTTAAATGTGTTTTTCTAATGAATTAAATATAAATTAATTCACAACAATTACAAAATAAGTTTATTGAAAAAAAAACCAAAGCTAATATTTCTAAGGAAGACCCAAAAGTGCAGGCCAAATATGTTGTTCCTATTATTAATTATAATGTATCCATAATTTTAAATCTTCTTTCTCTATTAAAAATTTTTGATTCACCTAATGCAAAGTATTCTTTTTCAAAGTACAAAATATAAATATGGAAAACTAACCATGCAACAATTTATGCTATTAATTCACTTAAAGGATAACTTTTTAAATCTCGCAAAATTATCACAATAACAAAAAATATTATTCTACATACCATCCCTATTGAAATATTTATATCTAGCCTCTAAATATCAGCTATACACTAGATTAATGAAAGTATTGAATCAACTACATCCATCACATTATTAATTGCCATAGGTAAAAAATAAATAAATTTTATTAATTGACAAAGATGTAAGGAGGGAGGCTCATTTAAATCAAAAATTATGTAATTTTGAGTTTATAAATACTTTTAAAAAAACAAGAATTTTAATAATAATTTAGTTCTAAAATCAAAAGAAAGAAGAAAATGATAACTATTATTTAATAATCAGCAAATATTATAATTAATTGTAATATTTCATAAAATTAATAATAATAAAATCATACTAATATAATTCAAATATACTAATTTCTTTTGAGATATAATATAAAGAGCAGTTTTTATTAATTGGATAAAAATAATTTCATATTTACAAAGAATAAATGCTTAATTATGATAACTCTTAGTAACTTAGAAAAGTAGTTATATACTAACACTTAGAAAAATAAATTGAAAATCATAATTCATTATTAAATATGCTATTCTAATTAAAAAAAATTATTATTTGTGGGATATCACCCTAATATTATTTTATCACATAAGAAGCAGATTCAAATCAACTTTCAAACATTTTGATTAATAACAATATGATGTTTGGTTGATTAAAATTGATTTTTATTACTAGCTATGTCAATATAATTAGATATTTGATTTATTTTTTTTCTTAAAGAATAGATTTAATCTTAAGTTCTGATTATTTTTAAATAATCTTGTACAATTTACTAGAATAGACCAAAAATCAATAAAAATTTATCTTGCTTAAATCATTAATATTGAATCTAAATAACAAGGATAGTACAAAGAAACATTTTCAGAAATTTTATTTATTTTGAGTTAATTAATTGATCAATATTTGGCAAAATAGAAACAATTCATGAGAAATCAAGTTGTTGAAAATATGAAACTAAAAAATTAGAGCGGCATTAATTAATAATGTTTAAAAGGATCTGAATTGATTTCAATCATCTTATAATAATTTTTAAGGCTCTTTGAATTCTCATTTTATTTTTAATAAATATAATAGTTTATTACCTCTACTTAACTATTTTAATTAATTTTATTGGATTACTCTAACATAATTTCATAGAACAAAGCACATTATCATTATAATCTCAGAAAATAATTGTATAATATCTGATTAAATTAATATTTGAGATTTTTTAACTTTATTTGATTGATTTTCAAAATTATATATTAAATTTCATTATGCTTATAATTAGATATATTATAAACTTTGTTTTAATAGAAATAAAGATATTTAAAATAAAATCTGTTGATTCAACTATTTCCAGGTTTAAGTGATGTGATTGTTCTATAAATCAAATATTCAACATTAAAATTAATTATTATTTTGGGAATTCCCCACAATCTAGCCAATTAGGGAGTGGTGCTCCCTCTTCCAGACTCGAAGATTTTATTGCTTCTCAATCCACTCGCTTGTGTCTGTCGATGTACTCAGCTTCAAACTGTTGGTGAAAACAGGCTACAGCATCGATAGAACAGTCCTTAAGTAGAGCTTGGATAAGTGCTGCAGGAGGATCCAAATTAGGGCAGATGTCTGAGTACAGCATAAGTGAGGTGCTATTCATTCTAATTAATTTTGATACTAATAGGAGGAAACAGTAAGGAAAAGAAGCCGAGTAATGAGAGTTGGCTGTAATGGAACCTACCTATAGTGCATTATTCTTCAGAAAAAGTAAGAAGGAGATCGGTTGTGAATTCAAAAATATCAATAAGATTGACAAACTGGGAATCAAAAATAATCTTATCTTTATTTATGAAGTCCATAAAATATGAATATAATCTGTAATAATTAATTTTATCTAGAAAGCCGGTTAAATAATTCAATGGAAATCGAGAACTTTCTAGAAAATTATCAGGAAATTAATAGTAAAGCTGGACGACCATACTATTAAGATTTAGAGTTATTTACTAGATGCGCTATCCAATGTTTTAACAATGAGACATATGATGCACATATATTGCCTGGACGAGAATGTGGTCCTTTTTTATGATCTTCAGAGATGTCTATACTCATACTTTGTGATATTATTTACTTGTAAAAATTTATTTTATTTTATTTAACATTTGCATAATTATTGTATAAAATTCACAATTCTTTATATTTTCTACATGATAACTATTCGAAATATAGTAGATC